TCTCAAAAACTGGTTCTCTGTGAGCACTGGGTTCTACCTCCCCTCTGCATGTAAACAAGAGGAACTTGTGAGACAAAAGCATGTCTCTCTTTCATCAACAGAAAGTGTTCTAATAAGATACCTCACCCATCCTGTCATCATTGTCATCCATGGCCTAATGTTTGGATGAGGTTCTTGAATGAGCATAGACAAGTGTCAGCATGGTTAGCTGATCTTTTATGGGCACATCTTACTATAGCTGGATATTTGGTCTAGCATGAACCTAGAGCAGGGATGAGCAATAATTTTTGCAGGGGAGCCACTTAATGAATTTTGCTATGTGGTGATGGACCGGGTCTCCTCCCCTGGAAAGGACAGGGCCTGGTGTGGAAGAGGTTGGGCTGGAGGCTTTGAATTAAAAACACGGCAAAGGGCTCCCAGCTCCACCACTACCGCATTGCCTGGCAGCCACCTGGAATTGCTGCAGCTAAACAAAATGCTCGCTGCACTAGCCCCTGTCAGGGGAGCAACGTGAACAGGAGCCATCAGCCATTTCAATAGGATCCTCCTGCCTGGGCCATTGCCTGGAAATTCAGTGGCCTGGGCAGCAGGATATAAATAAAAAGTGGCTAGATGCAGTCTGTGGGCTGGATAAAAGTGTTAGGTGGGCCAGATCTGGCCCAGCCTTGGCCTAGAGATCTTCAGGGAGGAGATGCTTTGTATACCTGTATGTATGTGGTCTCCAACCTTTTTAACCACAAGATCACTTTTTCAATGTAAGTGCAATGTAAGATCCACCTCAAACCCAATTACCCTTGCTCCACTTCCTTCCCACCCTTTCTCTGAGGCCCTGCCCCTGCTCCACCCCTTCTCCAAGGCCTCACCTGCTCATTCGATCCCCCTTTTTCCCCATCCTCATTCACTTTGACCAGTCTGGGGTAGGGGATTCGGGTGCAGGCTCTGGTCTTGGGCCAAGGTGTTTGGAGTGTGGGAGGGGCCCTGGGCTTAGCCTAGGGTGGGGGATTGGGGTCCAGGAGGGGTTTCAGGGTGCAAGATCTAGGAAGGAGTTTGGGTGCAGGGGGACTCACATCTGGGACAGGAGGTTGGGTTTAGGAGGCAGCTCAGGCTCGGACAGGGGTTCAGGAAGCAGGCCCTGGCTGGGCACCAATTAACAACTGAGACGGTTTCCAGGTGGTGGAGCAGTGGAGTGAAGGCAGGCTTACTCTTGCCCTGGCCCTGCACCACTCCTGAAAGCAGCTGGCATGTGCAGCAATGGCACCATGTGCTGCCCCTCATGTACAGGCACTGAAACCCACAGCTTCTACTGACTATGGTTCCCCATTACTGATCAATGGGAGCTGCAGGAATGGTGTCTGCAGGCAAGGACAGCATGTGGAGAACCCCTGCTTTCCCTCTCTCAGGGACATGCCAGCCACTTACAGGAGCAGCAATTACAGGCAGTCCCCGACTTACGAGGATCCGACTTATGTCGGATCCGCACTTACAAACGGGGCTTTTCCCGCTGCCTGTGCGGCTTCGCTCCTGTCCCCCTGGTCTGCTGGGGGGTCTAGCGGACCAGGCTTTTGTTGTGGGACGCCTCGGGTAGAGCAGCTGGGGTGCTGCCGGGTTGGTCCTGTGGGAACCTACCGGGCAGCGCCCCAGCT